ATTTTTTTATTAGCCTGTGTGTTAATTTCTTATGATTTGTTATTTGTACTTTAGATTATTTCTTGGAATTAATTAAGGTAAATCACGACTATTATCAATGCCTATTAAAAATTGGGCATTTTGTAAAGATTGTGGAAGCGTTGTCTTGGCCTCGGCATGCCTGCGTGTTGATATAGAGTCGGGAACAGCCCTCGACGTGGCTTACAAGACAAGAAATATACATCCCAAATATACAGGAGACAATCGTGCTAATCATAACTCAAATCAATCATGATTAGTACTTGCCATAATACATGATATACTATTCCATGATTAGTACTTGCCATACTACATGATATACTATTCCATACTTCAACACCCCTCCTCAATCTAAACTTCCCAAGTTGAGATTGTTTTTGAACATCTCGAGTTGCTGAACAGGAAGAGGTTTGGTGAAGCCGTCAGCCACCTGATTGCTGGTTGGAACAAATTGTATTCTCAACAATCCTTGAGCTACTCTTTCTCTCACAAAATGATAGTCCACTTCTATATGTTTCGTCCGCCCATGGAAGACTGGATTTACTGATAGATATGTGGCTCCAATATTTTCACACCATAGTCGAGCTGACTTGGGTGATGATATCTTCAACTCTTCAAGTAGCTTTTGGATCCAAATCACTTCAGCGGTTGCATTTGCAACTGCCTTATATTCCGCTTCAGTTGACGACCTGGAGACTGTTGCTTGCTTTCTAGCACACCAAGATATTAGATTAGAACCTAAGAAGATTGCAAAACCACCAGTGGACCTTCTGTCATCAACACAACCTGCCCAATCTGCATCAGAGAAGGCGCTAACCAAAGTGGACAATGACTTGTTGATTTTCAAGCTAACATTGTATGTATACCGCAAGTATCTCAATATCCTCTTTACTGCTGTCATATGAATAGTGGTAGGTGAATGAAGATACTGACAGACCTTATTTACAGAGAATGCAATGTCTGGCCTTGTAAGTGTAACATACTGCAATGCCCCTACTAAGCTTCTGTATTTAGTTGAGTCTTCAGGTCCAAGAACATCACCTTGATATGCCGACAGCTTGTCACTTGTAGACATAGGTGTGTTTGTCGGCTTGCAATTTACCATCCCGGCTTTCTTTAGAATATCAGCAATGTATTTCTCCTGCGAAAGAATGATTCCGCCTCTATTCTTCTTCACTTCAATGCCCAGAAAATAATGCAGCTCACCGAGATCTTTAAGTGCAAACTCCGAATTTAGATCTTGTAAAAGAGCTTGAGTTGTTTTTTCTGAGGAACTTGCAACAATAATGTCATCAACATATACAAGAAGAAACATTGTAATTTCCCCTTTCTGATAGAAGAATAAAGAAATATCTGACTTGGAGGAAAGGAAGCCAAGTGACTTCAATTTTGTACTCAATCTTGAGTACCAAGCCCTGGGAGCTTGTTTCAAGCCATAAAGAGCTTTATCTAGTTTACACAGATGATGTGGCTTGGTTTGATCTTCATAACCTGGTGGCTGCCTTATATACACTTCTTCCTCAAGAACACCATGCAAGAACGCATTCTGCACATCTAGCTGACGTAGGCTCCATCCTCTAGACACTGCTAATGACAGAATTAATCTGATGGTGGCAGCTTTCACTACTGGACTAAAGGTTTCTTCATAATCTATTCCATATCTTTGTTTAAAACCTTTAGCAACTAGCCGAGCTTTATATCTATCTATGGATCCATCAGGTTTTCTCTTAATTTTATACACCCATTTGCAATCAATTGTATTCTTGCCAGGAACAGGAGGTACTAGGTGCCAGGTTTGATTCTTCATCAAGGCCATGTACTCATTGTCCATTGCCGATTTCCAATTGCTATTCTTAAGAGCATCATGTAAACTGTAGGGTTCTTCAGATGCAGCTAGAAGATTATACCTGACCGTACCGTCGGTGTATATCTTCGGTTTGTGTATACCATGTTGAGCTCGCGTGCGGAGATGTTGATCGGGAGGTGCTTCAGGAGGCATAGCCGCGGCCGCCTCAGCTTGTGCCACCGGGACCGTCGCTGCAGGCTGTGCCCCGCTCCCCCCCGATGCAGCGGACGTGGACGATGCGGGGTGAGCAGTGGCGGACCGGGAGGCGGACGCCGATCCCGGAGATGCTGCAGTCGTTGCCGCAGGTTGTTGGGGCGTAGGAAGATCTCCTCCGGGTTCTGTATCACGCGCCGGGTGCATGAAATCACCTCCTTCCGATGTGTTTTCTACACCGTTTTGATCGGAATTTTATGCAGTGGGAAAATAAACACCAACAACATCTGTATGAGCATTTGTATGTCTATCAACCACATGATCAGGTACTGTATCGTTCCCAACAAAATTACGAAGATCAGGTGGAAGAAGTAGGATTTCGGATTTTAATCGGGAACCGACATTTGAGTGTAGTTCAGCAAAGGGAAAAATCTTCTCATCAAAAACGACATTTCGTGAGATGTAAACACGCCCAGAGGAGATATCCAAGCATTTAAAACCTTTGTGAAGATTGCTATAGCCAAGAAAAATGCATCGTTTTGAGCGAAATTCTAACTTTCTAGCATTATACGGTCGGAGGTTGGGCCAACAAGCACACCCGAAAATTCTTAAGGAGGAATAATCTGGTTTTTCCTTGTAGAGAACATCAAGGGGCGTTTGGTGATCAAGGAGTTTTGTGGGGGTGCGATTTATCAAATAGGTAGCAGTGAGGAAAGCTTCATCCCAATATTTTAATGGCATTGACGCATAGGCAAGAAGAGCAAGTCCTACCTCTACTATGTGGCGGTGCTTGCGTTCCGCAGCTCCGTTTTGCTGATGAGCATGAGGGCAGGAAACAAAATGAGTAATGCCAATCTGGCGAAAAAAGGAATTCAGCTTCTCATACTCTCCACCCCAATCTGACTGAACAGAAATAATCTTGCGATTAAACTGACGTTCAACAAGGTTTTGAAATTCATGGAAAAGCCGAAACACATCAGATTTTTGTTTAAGGAGAAAGATCCATGTAAACTTGCTGAAATCATCTATGAAACTCACATAATATTTATTCCTTCCAAAAGAATCGGGTGCAGGCCCCCATACATCAGAAAATATAAGCTGCAAAGGTTCACTAGATCTACTGACAGAAACTGGATAGGGAAGCTGATGACTTTTTGCTTGTTGACAAGCATTACAGATGTTGTCACTGCTAATCTTTTTATCTGAACAAGGTAAATTATTCTGGCTAATAACACGAAGAACGATGGGTGATGATGGATGCCCTAATCTTCTATGCCACTGGACTGCAGAAGGCTTTATTGCGCTTAGCACGTGCCTGCCTGGAAGGTAGAGGGTAGAGACCCCCTCTACACTGGCCTCGAAGTAGAACCCTCCTCGTGGCTTGATCCTTAATCAAGAAAAACCAGGGATGAAACTCTAAGAAGGCATGATTATCATGAGCAAGTTTGTGAACAGATACTAGATTCTTGCAAGCAGAAGGAACATGAAGGACACGCTTGAGATATAAATTTTTACTGGGAGTAGGTACAATAGCATGACCAATGTGATCAATAGACATACTTGCTCCATTTGCCGTGGTGATCTGTTCATTGCCGTGGTATGAGTCGTGCATGGCCAGCTTGTTCAGATCTTCTGTGATGTGATCCGTGGCACCCGTGTCGGTGTACCAGTTGGAGTCGATGCCGTAGTTGTTGACAGCTGCAGCAGCGGTCTTGTCGGAGACGTACTCGGGGTCGAAGCGGTACCAGCAATCAAGGGCAGTGTGCCCCCCGACTCCGCAGACTTGGCACTTGGGCTTGGTGGGGCGGTTGTCGTTGTTGTTGTAACCGCCTCTGTTCTGGCGTCCGCCTGCACCATTTCCGCGTCCTGGAGCACGGCCACCGGCGTTGGGAGGTCCACCGCGGCCCCCCCGGAAGTTGCCCCGGCCGCCACCACGACCACCGCCGCGAGTGGCAACGTTCGCCATCGCCTGATTGGTCTGCAACATATCGTTGCGGTACTCAAAGGTAGTAAGTTGAGTATATAACTCACTCATGGTGATTGGTTCAGCCCGCGCGACCACCGCGGACACCACCGGATTGTAGTCGTAGTCAAGACCGGCGAGGATGTAGCTGACGAGTTCTTCGTCGTCAATGCGCTTGCCAGCAGATGTCATGTCATCTGCTAGCATCTTCATCTTGTTGAGATACTCCACCATGGTGGAGGCACCCTTGCGAGTTGTCGCCAAGGCGATGCGCGTGTTTACCGTGCGCGCACGGGTTTGTGAAGATGTTATCTCCACGATCCCATTCCAGAGATCTTCCACCGTCTTGCGGTCGGTGACCTGGGTAAGGATTTCCTTCGAGAGCGAGGTGAGGAGGTAGCTCACGACCTGTTGATCGCGAGCCACCCACCTCGAGTACTATTCGTTGATCTGCTTGACCGGCTTGCTGTCGACGGTGACAGTCACCTCTTTTGGTGGCGCGACGTCCGTGCCATGGAGGAGCTCTTCAAGTTGAGCCCCTCGAATGGCCGGCATCACCTGAGCCTGCCACATGTTGAAGTTGCTTCGGGTTAGCTTCTCCGTCACCGGGAACGCAAGCGGTGCGGTGATCATGGTCGAGTTGGAGGATGGAGTCGCCATGAACAGATGTGGATGAGGAAGTGGCTCTTGATACCATGTAAAGATTGTGGAAGCGTTGCCTTGGCCTCGGCATGCCTGCGTGTTGATATAGAGTCGGGAACAGCCCTCGACGTGGCTTACAAGACAAGAAATATACATCCCAAATATACAGGAGACAATCGTGCTAATCATAACTCAAATCAATCATGATTAGTACTTGCCATAATACATGATATACTATTCCATGATTAGTACTTGCCATACTACATGATATACTATTGCATACTTCAACACATTTATCATGGAGGTTTAAGACTATTGAAACCAAAAGTCCTGAACAATGAAATGATTTTGCCAGCCTTTCGTTTTATATATATTACTAAATTATGAAACCAAAAGTCCTGAATCTTAATCACTTTAGTATATACTACTAAATTATGAAACCAAAAGTCCTGAATCTTAATCACTTTAGTATATACTACTAAATTATGAAGATTCTACGATCACATTACGGAACCATCCCGTCGAGGTTTATAACCATTAGATTAATTATCTACGACGGTCACATGATGATCTAACGATTACAAATCCCGACGGAATGATTCTGTAACGGCATTGTACTCATGAAAAAAAATTAAAAAAAATATATATATACATCAACCCCATGCACATTCCATATGCCCAATAATAAAAATATACAAAAATAAAAAATAAAAAAAAAATGATGTAAAGGAACTCAAGAATGGAGAAGAAAACCTTCAAACCATGCCTTTGAACTCTTCATCTATATTTAAATTTTTTTTGGTAAATACAAAAACTATCAAAATGAAAGATGTTCTCCTATGTGTTTCCGATGCAAATTCTAACTGAAAAATGGTACACTTGAGCTTTGCTTTCTAATGATTTTATTACAAGTAATCTTTGAGAGAGTATCATATTGTAAGGATTTTCACTGGTATATCGAGTACTGTATACAGTTCTTTGCAGTATCGATTATCGACTTATCAAACATTCTCTTGGTAAACCGAATTCTTTCTTCTTCAGGTGCACTAACTCTCTTCTCCAAGGATCATTATGCAGCTTGTAATGCAACACCTGGTCGAAATTTATTTGAAAAAAAAATCAAATGCTGAAGCAATATTTTGTTTAGGGAAAGAGGGCTCGAGCCTATATTGAGTTCATGGGCCCAAATGGCTAGGCTGACTCGACATTTTAATTTTGAAGGATCATTTTACCTGCAAGAGTGTGGCGAATACATCATCTCCATTAAGTTGGGAGGATTTTACAGCCCAATCTTCGACTAGGCCAATGGTGGCATTTTGCCTCTGGGCTTCGAGCATAATAGAATCAATATACAAGAATCTCTGCCATATCTTCTTCACATTCGCCAGTTTGAGTTCTACTTCGGTCTCGTTTATGCTCTGCTCGCAACAAAATTTTTTTCGTGTCACATTCATTACAAGTCAGAAAATAAAGAAGCATAATAGAAACTTACCCGTAAAATATTTATCAGATTCGGGATTTCATCTTCACGAATCCGAACAGCAAAGCTTTCGTAATTGAGGATATTCTCGTATGGTAGATAGATCCCATCCTACCAAAAAAAACAAATGATAAAAAAAATTCAAAAAAAAAAAAAAATCAATTTTGCCGACAAATTCTGTCCAATAATGTGTACTTGAATAACCACAGGAATACAGCCTTGCAGTATACTATCTTCCATTCGACCACTCCACCCATCTCCCGGCATGACCCCACAAAAAACCGAGCTTGCCAATTGTTCTTGGTAATTATATGTACGTAATGATGTCACGATTACATCATCTGCATGCTGTTTCCCAAGCTTCCCTTTCTTGTCGGGGCTCGACCCGAACTCCTCAGCCACTTTCTGCCTTATACCCATGCTATATCTGTTTTCACCGTAAATAATAATATCTTTCAGAACAATTACATATCACTCATTAACATATGTCTCAGTTTTACAAACTGCACTGAAAATCACTTACGTAGCTTCAGGCCTTCCGTTTTCATAAGCTGGTCCTAAATTTCCGTTAAAATAGAAAAATGTCTTCCTCTCCTCACGGGTCCTGAAAAAAAACGATGACATAAATAATAGTAGTCGAATTTTGATAATAAAAACAAAGTTGAGAAAAGTGTGTGTGTGCACCTTGCCCATAGCCTGGCACCTAGAGACTGTTCATTGGGACGTTTCCAAGCAGGGAGCACGAGATCTTTCCGTGGGTCGAAACACGGATGATTACCTCTTCTATCGGGAGAAATACCGTCCCAATTATCACCCCAATAAGCAGTAGTTGAGTGATTGTGCTTAGAATTCGTGTTTCCCCAGTGGACTAACATCATGCTGTTCCATATTTCCTTAGGGGCATAGCAAGCACCTTCATCCCACGAAAAGAACTGCCTTAAGAGGCATTTTTTTTTTAATAAAAAAATATAAATATTAGCCCTAAAGAGTTTGATTACCAAAGAAAACAAAAACA